GCCGAGGCAGGTGGATCACGAGGTCAAGAGATCGAGACCATCCTGGTCGACATGGTGAAACCCCGTCTCTACTAAAAATACAAAAAATTAGCTGGGCATGGTGGTGCGTGCCTGTAATCCCAGCTACTCAGGAGGCTGAGGCAGGAGAATTGCCTGAACCCAGGAGGCGGAGGTTGCAGTGAGCCGAGATGGTGCCATTGCACTCCAGCCTGGGTAACAAGAGCGAAACTCCGTCTCAAAAAAAAAAAAAAAAACAAAAAAAAACTTTCAACCCAGAATTTTATATCCAGCCAAACCAGGCTTCATAAGCAAAGGAGAAATAAAATCCTTTATGAATAAGCAATTGCTGAGACATTTTTGTCACCACCAGACCTGCCTCACAAGAGCTCCTGAAGGAAGCACTAAACGTGGAAAGGAGCAACCAGTACCAGCCACTGCAAAACCAAATTGTAAAGAACACCAACACTATGAAGCAACTGCACCAACTAACGGGCAAAACAACCAGCTAGCATCGAAACAGCAGGATCAGATTCACACATAATCATCTTAACCTTAAATGTAAATGGGCTAAATGCTCCGATCAAAAGACACAGACTGGCAAACTGGATGAAAAGTCAAGAGCCATCAGTGTGCTGTATTCAGGAGACCCATCTCACATGCAGACATACATAGAGTCAAAATAAAGGGACAGAGGAAGATTTACCAAGCAAATGGAGAGCAAAAAAAAGTAGGGCTTGCAATCCTAGTCTCTGATAAAAAGACTTTAAACCAACAAAGACAAAAAAAGACAAAGAAGGGCATTATATAATGGTAAAAGGATCCATGCAACAAGGAGAGCTGACTCTCCTAAATATATATGAACCCAATGCAGGAGCACCCAGATACATAAAGCAAGTTCTTAATAACCTACAAAGAGACTTAGACTCCTGCACAATAATAGTGGGAGACTTTAACACTCCACTGACAATATTAGACAGACCAACAAGACAGAAAATTAACAAGCATATCCAGGACTTGAACTGAGATCTGGACCAAGCAGACCTAATAGACATCCACAGAACTCTCCACCCCAAATCCACAGAATATACATTTTTCTCAGCACCGCACTGCACTTACTCCAAAACTGACCACATAGTTGGAAGTAAATCACTCCTCAGCAAATGCAAGAGAACAGAAATCCTAACAAACCGTCTCTCAGACCACAGTGCAATCAAATTAGAACTCAGGGTTAAGAAACTCACTCAAAACCGCACAACTACATAGAAACTGAACAACCTGCTCCTGAATTAGTACTGGGAAAAAAATGAAATGAAGGCAGAAATAAAGATGTTCTTAGAAACCAATGAGAACGAAGACACAACATACCAGAATCCCAGGAAACATTTAAAGCTGTGTCTGGAGGGAAATTTACAGCACTAAATGCCCACATGAGAAGCGAGGAAAGCTCTAAAATAGACACTCTACCACAACGGTTAAAAGAGCTAGAGGAGCAAGACCAAACACATTCAAAAGCTGACAGAAGACAAGAAATAACTAAGATCAGAATAGAACCCGAGGAGATAGAGACACAAAAAACTCTTCAAAAAATCAGTAAATCCAGGAGCTGGGTTTTTGAAAAGATAAACAAAACAGATAACCTCTAGCCAGACTATTAAAAAAGAAAAGAGAGAAGAACAGAATAGATGCAATACAAAATGATAAAGGGGATATTACCACTGATTCCACAGAAATACAAACTACCATCAGACATTACTACAAACACCTCTGTGCATATAAACCAGTAAATCTAAAAGAAATGGATAAATTCCTGGAAACTTACCCCCTCCCAAGAGTAAACCAGGAAGAAGCTGAATCCCTGAATAGACCAATAACAAGGTCTGAAGTTGAGGCAGCAATTAATAGCTTAATTGCTGGGACCAGACAGGTTCACAGCTGAATTCTACCAGAGGTACAAAGAGGAGCCGGTACAATTTCTTCTGAAACTATTCCAAACAATACAAAAAGAGGGAATCCTCCCTAACTCATTTTATGAGAGCAACATCATCCTGATACCAAAACCTGGCAGAGACACAACTGAGAAAGAAAATTTCAGGCTAATATCCACAATGAACAATGATGCAAAAATTCTCAACAAATTAATGGCAAACCGAATCCAACAGCACATTGAAAAGCTTATCCAGGCCTAGCACGGTGGTTCATGCCTATAATCCCAGCACTTTGGGAGGCCGAGGTGGGTGGATCATGAGGTTGAGAGATCGAGACCATCCTGATCAACATGGTGAAACCCTGTCTCTACTAAAAATACAAAAATTATCTGGGCATGGTGGCTCGTGCCTGTACTACATCCCAGCTACTCGGGAGGGTGAGGCAGGAGAATTGCTTGAACCCAGAAGGCGGAGGTTGCGGTGAGCCGAGATTGCACCATTGCACTCCAGCCTGGGTAACAACAGCGAAACTCCGTATCAAAAAAGAAAAAAAAAAAAAAAAAAAAGCTTATCCATCACGATCAAGTCAGCTTCATCCCTGGGATACAAGGCTGTTTCAACATATGCAAATCTATAAATGTAATCCATCACATAAACAGAACCAGAGACAAAAACCATATGATTATCTCAATAGATGCAGAGAAGGCCTTTGACAAAATTCAACAGCTCTTTATGCCAAAAACAAAAACTCTCCCTAAACTAGGTATTGATGGAATGTATCTCAAAATAATAAGAGCTATTTATGACAAACCCACAGCCAATATCATACTGAATGGGCAAAAACTGGAAGCATTCCCTTTGAAAACTGGCACAAGACAAGGATGCCCTCTCTCACCACTCCTATTCAACATAGTATTGGAAGTTCTGGCCAGAGCAATCAGGCAAGAAAAAGAAATGAAGGGTATTCAGTTAGGAAAAGAGGAAGTCAAATTGTCTCTATTTGCAGATGACATGATTGTATATTTAGAAGACCCCATCTTCTCAGCCCAAAATCTCCTTGAGCTGATAAGTAACTTCAGCAAAGTCTCAGGATACAAAATCAATATGCAAAAATCACAAGCATTCCTATACACCAATAACAGAGAGCCAAAATCATGAGTGAACTCAAATTCATAATTGCTACAAAGAGAGTAAAACACCTAGGAATACAGCTAACAAGGGATGTGAAGGACCTCTTTAAGGAGAACTACAAACCACTGCTCAAAGAAATGAGAGAGAACACAAACAGATAGAAAAATACTCCATGCTCGGCCAGGTGCGGTGGCTCACGCCTGTAATCCCAGCACTTTGGGAGGCCGAGGCAGGTGGATCATGAGGTCAAGAGATCGAGACCATCCTGGTCAACAAGGTGAAACCCCGTCTCTACTAAAAATACAAAAATTATCTGGTCATGGTGGTGCGTGCCTGTAATCCCAGCTACTCAGGAGGCTGAGGCAGGAGAATTGCCCGAACCCAGGAGGCGGAGGTTGCAGTGAGCCGAGATCACGCCATTGCACTCCAGTCTGGGTAACGACAGCGAAGCTCTGTCTCGGGGGAAAAAAAAAAAAAAAGAAATAGAAATACCATTTGACCCAGCAATCCCATTATTGGGTATATACCCAAAGGATTATAAAACATTATATTATAAAGACACATGCACATGTATGTTTAATATGGCACGGTTTACAATAGCAAAGACTTGGAACCAACCTAAATGCCAATCAAAGATAGACTGGATAAGGAAAATGTGGCACATATACACCATGGAATACTATGCAGCCATAAACAAAGATGAGCTCATGTCCTTTGCAAGGACATGGATCAAGCTGGAAAGCATCATTCTCAGTGGACTGACACAGGAACTGAAAACCAAACACTGCATGTTCTTACTCCTAAGTGGGTGTTGAACAATGAGAACACATGGACACAGGGAGGGGAACATCACACAGTGGGGGCCTGTCGGGGAGTTTGAGGGGTAGGGGAGGGATAGCAAGGGGTGGGGGGATTGGGGAGAAATACCTAATGTAAATGATGGGGGGATGGAGGCAGCAAAGCACCAAGGCACATGTAGACCTATGTAACAAACCTGCACGTTCTGCACATGTGCCCCAGAACTTAAAGTATAATAAAAACTGTACCATGACAACTAGGATGGCCACGATGAAAGCAAAGCAGACGAACAAGCAGCACTGGGGAGGGTTTGTAAGAAGCTTCCTGTGTCGCTGGTGGGAATATAACATGGCGCAGCGGCTTTGAAAACCAGTCTGGTAGTTCCTCAAAGAGCAAAACACAGAGTTACTATATGACCCCGTGATGCCACCACCCCGAGGTGTGTACCCAAGAGAACAGAAAACATATGTCCACACAAAACCTTGTATGTGAAACACAGAGTTACTATATGACCCCGTGATGCTGCCACCCCGAGGTGTGTACCCAAGAGAACAGAAAACATATGTCCACACAAAACCCTGTATGTCAATGTTCACAGCAACAATATGCATAATAGCAAAACGTGGAAAAACCCAAATGTCCATCAACTGATGAACAGCTCTGAGTCTTACTAAGCCACCGATGGAAGGTAAGTCTCACGCCTGTAATCCCAGCACTTTGGGAGGCCGAGGCGGGTGGATCATGAGGTCAAGAGATCGAGACCATCCTGGTCAACATGGTGAAACCCTGTCTCTACTAAAAATACAAAAATTAGCTGGGCATGGTGGCGCGTACCTGTAATCCCAGCTACTCAGGAGGCTGAGGCAGGAGAATTGCCTGAACCCAGGAGGCAGAGGTTGCGGTGAGCCGAGATCGTGCCATTGCACTCCAGCCTGGGTAACAAGAGTGAAATTCCGTCTCAAAAAAAAAAAAAAAAGTCTTATACATTTTGAATTTGTCTGTCTTCAATGTCTGTGCAGTGTCCGTCAGAGAGAAAGGGGTTTCAGGGAGCCTAGATATTTCAAAAGGGCAATGGAGGTATCTAGGGGATATAGGGAGCCACGAGGAAGACCGAACATTGTTTTGCTTTCTTGTAATTCTCCTGAGCATTCCCAGAGGCCACCAGTAAACTGATCATCTCACTCACAAACAAAGTCTTCACAACTGGTGAGTAACCAGGCATTGCATGCTCAGCAGAAAGGAGCGTGAGGACAGAGCTCTCTCTTCCACTGCCTAAGCCTAGAGGCTTTTCATCGCTTCACCACACTGTCTGTCTCTTCCCAAGAAGGTCCTTGGTGTGAGGATGGAGCATGGCTGTGGAGTGGAGTTCTGGGGTTCAGGAGGAGGAGCATTTTGGGTAATGGAGCCATTTCTTCCTTCCTTCCCTCCTTCCTTTTTTTTAAGACAGAGACTCCCTCTGTCAAGCAGGCTGGAGTAGTGGCCTGATCTCGGCTCACTGCAACCTCCATCTCCTAGGTTCAAGTGATTCTCCTTCCTCAGTCTCACGAGTAGCCACCACACCCAGCTAATTTTTGTATTTTTTAGTAGAGATGGGGTTTCACCATATTGGCCAGTCTGGTCTTGAACTTCTGACCTCGTGATCCACCTGCCTCGGCCTTCCAAAGTGCTGGGATTACAGGTGTGAGCCACCGTGCCTGGCCAATGGGGCCATTTCAAAGATGGCAGAGCAAGGCTGTGATGGGAAGACTGCTGCCCTTCCCTATGCACCACTCCCAGGATAACAAGGCTGTGATGGGAAGACTGCTGCCCATCCCTACGCACTGCTCCCAGGATAACAAGGCTGTGATGGGAAGACTGCTGCCCATCCCTACGCACCGCTCCCAGGATAAAGTCCTAGGCCTTCTGACTTGGCTGTGATCCAAGGATTTAATCTTGCTCCTCCCTGTGTCCATATAGAGCCCATGGTCTAGCCACACACAGACCGTAGGTGCCTGGACACCGTACATCTAACCACTCCAGTGCTCTGCGGATACGCCTTCCTCACACTGCAGTTTCTTCCCCCTTGCTTTTCCTGGGAAGTGTCATTTCCTTCCAGACTAATAAACACCTTCACAGATTCCCTGATAACAGGCTAGCTATCTCCGCTGGGCCCACGTGACTCCGGCTTTCATGAGGCACCTGATCGCAGAGGGTTCTAACCCTATGGTGGGCTCCTTCCCTATCTTCGCTTCAGGACCTCCCGGTCACCCTCAGGATGCAGTTCCAATTGTTCAGCTTGCTGTTCCATGAGCTTAGCCACTCAGCCGCTGCTGATCCCTCCAATCCTGTCTGCATACCTTCCATGCAGTCCCCGTGCTGTTCTCAGCCACACACAGGCACCTGAAGCTCTTCTGGAGGCTCCCTATCCTCTCCTGCCTCTGCACCCAAGCCGCTTGCTCTTCCTTTCCTTCCATTTCCCCATGGCACCGATTCCTCAAGAAAACCTTGACCATCCAGGCTGCACTGGTGGTTTTCTCTGCTCTTGCTCAGTGTCCTGTGGGCTGCCTCTTACAGCAAATTTCACAGTATATTACAAGGATCGCTTTGCCTGTCATCCCAGCACTTTGGGAGGCCAAGGTGGGCGGATCACCTGAGGTCTGGAGTTCGAGACCAGCCTGGCCAGCATGGTGAAACCTATTCTGTACTAAAAATACAAAAATCTCTACTGGGGGTTAAGAATTGGGCATTGGCCGGGCGCAGTGGCTCACGCCTATAATCCCAGCACTTTGGGAGGCCAAGGAGGGTGGATTACAAGGTCAAGAGATCGAGACGATCCTGGTCAACATGGTGAAACCCTGTCTCTACTAAAAATACAAAAATTAGCTGGGCATGGTGGTGCGTGCCTGTAATCCCAGCTACTCAGGAGGCTGAGGCAGGAGAACTGCTTGAACCCGGAAGGTGGAGGTTGCAGTGAGCCGAGATCACGCCATTGCACTCCAGCCTGGGTAACAAGAGCGAAACTCTGTCTCAAAAAAAAAAAAACAAAAAAAGAATTGGGCATTAAAATCAGGTGGCTCATGCCTGTAATCCCAACACTTTGGGAGGCTGAGGTGGGCAGATCACCTGAGGTCAGGAGTTCAAGGCCAACCTGGCCAACATGGTGAAACCCCATCTCTACTAAAAAAATGTAAAAATTAGCTGGGCATGGTGGTGTGTGTGTGTAGTCCCATCTACTTGAGAGGCTGAGGCAGGAGAGTTGCTTGAACCCAGGAGGCCAAGGTTGGAGACAAGATTGTGCCACCACACTCCAGCCTGGGCAACAGAGCAAGACTCCATCTCAAGAAAAAAAATACAAAGACTAGCAATGTGTGATGGCATACACCTGTAATTCCAGCTACTGTGGAGGCTGAGGCAGGAGAATTGCCTGAACCCGGGAGGTGGAGGTTACAGTGAGCCAAGATCACACCACTACACTCCAGCCTGGGTAATAGAGTGAGAAAAAAAAAAAAAGCCCAGGCATGGTGGCTCGTGCCTGAAATTCCAGCACTTTGGGAGGCTAATGTGGGTGGATCACTTGAGGTCAGGAGAGACAAGCCTGGTCAACATGGTGAAACCCTGTCTCTACTAAAAATAAGAAAATTAGCTGGGCGTGGTGGTGGGTGCCGTGCCTGTAATCCTAGCTACTTGGGAGGCTGAGGCAGGAGAATCGCTTGAACCCAGGAGGTGGAGGCTGCAGTGAGCCGAGATCACGCCACTGCACTCCAGCCTGGGTGACAGAGCGAGATCCCAACTTGACACACACACACACACACCCGCTTTCCCGCTTTACTTCTTGGTCTCCTCCAATAGCCTGGGAACTGCAGGTGGACAGTGTCTTGTTAATATTTGGGTTCGTGAGGCACAGCACATGGCTGCGTACCTGGCTTGTCTCAGGAGATGCTTGAGGAATAGAGAGCTGACATGTATGAGGTGCTCATTATATGTCAAGCAGCGTGCTTTGTTTTACTGCCATTATCATCTTGACTTTCACACCAACCTATAAGGGATATCATTAATTTTACCGGACACATAGGAGGGAAAACTGCTTCACAGATGCTGATAAGTGATAGCCTTGGGTGTCAAATCTGGACAGGCTGATTCTTTAGTTCATGCTTTTTTTTTTTGAGATACGGTCTTGCTCTGGTTCCCAGGCTGGAGTGCAGTGGAGCAATCCTGGCTCACTGCAGCCTCAACCTCTCAGGGCTCAGGTGATCTTCCTGCCTCAGCCCCCACTGAGTAGCTGGGATTATAGGCATGTGTCATCATGCCAGGCTAATTTTTGTATTTTTTGTAGAGATAGGATTTTTCCAAGTTGCTTAGGCTGGTCTTGAACTCTTGGACTCAAGCCATCCTCCTGCCTCAGCCTCCCAAAGTGCTGGGATTACAGGGGTGAGCCACTGTGCCCAGCCCATGCTCTGTAATAAGGAATTCTGCCTCCCAAGTGTGTGTGTTAAGGGTAGGGACAGTGATGGGGGAGGGAATATGGTTTCATTTCACACTTAGCCTTTTTTTGGTTCCCAGAGACTTCTAGGAGTATCACCACCAGTCCAAAGGAGTCAGGCTCTCCAGCTGGTGAGTCATCCTCTCCAGACCCTCTCCCTTCTCACCCAAAGCCAACTCCTTTCTCTATACAGAAACTGCAGCTCTGAGATCTTGGGTTCCAGTGTGTAGAGAGAAGGCGGAATATCAGTGTATGGGGTTCAGAATTGGGCATTAAGTTCAGCTGGGAAGGTTGAGATTTTCTGAAGGGTCAGAGAAAGAGATTCCATCTCTTCCCCGCCCCTTATAACTGTCTTCTCTTTTGCAACGCATTGGATAACAAGGCAGCATCTGTGTCTGGGAAGGGGTTGTCTCAGAGCCCTGTGAGCCATGCCTCTCACATGAGGGAGAGGTGCTACTTAAGAGAATTGGGGTCATCTTGCCCTGACTCCTACTGGGGAGTGGGGGAACCCTCCAGGAAAGAGAATGGCATCCCAGCTGGTAGAGGATAATAGGATCTCTGAGAAGCCCAAGATGTGGCTTGGAGGGGGTCCTGGAGATGGGCTTCTTCACCTGCTCCTGCCTCTCCTCATTCCTCCAGGTCCTTCCCGCCAGTACTACACCAAGGGCAACCTGGTCCGGATATGCCTCGGAGCTGTGATCCTAATACTCCTGGCGGGATTTCTGGCAGAGGACTGGCACAGCCGGAGGAAGCGCCCGCGGCACAGGGTCAGGGCTGTGCAGAGGCCACTCCCACCCCTCCCACAGCCCCGGAAATCACACGGGAGTCAGGATGGAGGTCGACCAGATGTTCACAGCCACAGGTTCTCCTCATAACCAGTGAACCCCAGGCATGGTCATATCCAAGGGATGGATCATGGCATGGGACACAACTCAAACACTGTGGTGTACGTGGAGCATGGGAGCAGGAGGGTTGAGGCTACAGCTTGGAAAGGAGGCCATGTTGCCTCCTCCTAGTGCTCCATCAAGGAGCCGTTCAGCTAGTGTCTGCCTGGCTCCCTGTCCGAGGACGCCCTCCATTTGGGATGGGAGGAGTCTCCTCCCTGCACACTGTGGATCACATGGTACCCTGGCTGGACCACATACCAGCCTCTTTCTTCAACCTTCCGTAATACGGGCTCCAGATGAATCTCTAACGTTCCCAGCTCTCACGGCCGACTCTGTTCCATCCTCTGCGCAGAACCCTCCATGCTTCCCCTTGGCCCTCTGTGCTCATCTGGTTTTCCCCAGAAACACTCACCCCAACCCCAACTCCATCTTCCACTGCAGTCTAACTCACTCCTCTCATTTCTTAGAACAGGCCTTGCGGGCAGTTTGGGTATGTCGTTCATTTTCATTAGTGTAAAACTAGCCTGTTGATTGCTTTCCTGCACTTTAGAAAACAAGATCAGCCTGTGCGACACGGTGAAACCCCATCTCTACCACAACAAAACAAAACAGAAAACAAAAATCGGCCAGGTGTGGTGATGCATGCCTATAGTCCTAGCAACTCCGGGGGCTGAGGTGGGAGAAGGGTTTGAGTCCGGGAGGCAGAGGTTGCAGTGAGCTGAGATCACACCGCTGCACTCCAGCCTGAGTGACAGAGCCCGACCTTATCTCAAAAAATAAAGTGATGAATATGCTAATTATCCCATCTGATCATAACACATGGTATATATGTATTGAAATATTGTTACCTACCCCATAAATATGTACAATTATGTATAAATTTTTAAAATAAAAATAAAATAAGATAATGCACCATCTCCACCCCTCTCATAATTACTTTCTGAAGGAAATATTAGGTCTTCTCAAAGTAGAGTTCTACATTTATTATGGCATTTAGGCATTTCTTGATCATCTAATGAGTGTAAAACTATACCACTGCACGAGGTACAGTGGATCACGTCTGTAATCCTAGCACTTCGGGTGGGCAAGGCAGGAGGATCACTTAAGCCGAGGAGTTCAAGACCAGCCTGGGCAGCATAGTGAGACCCGCGTCTCCACTAAAAATAAAGAAGAGAAAAAGTTTTTTTAAAAAGGAAAAGAATGGCTGGGAATGGTGGCTTACGCCTGTCATCCCAGCACTTTAGGAGCCTGAGATGGGTGGATCACTTGGGAAAAGACAGAAGGACGGCAGACAGAAGCTTCAGGATGACAGCTGTGAATCCGGGCTAGTGAGCACACAGCTTAGGTGCAGCGGGAATGGGAAGGTTGCTTAGAGAAAACTTCAAATGTAATAATGGGTCAATTACTTGTCTTAACATAGTGGAAAATCATACTGAGAAGCTATTAGAAGAAAGAGGAAAAATAATTATAGAGGTCAAGTAAACTAAGTAGATTTTAAAAAGACAAGTATTGCCTGAGCCCAGAAGTTTCAGACTAGCTTGGACGCCATTGTGAAACACCACCTCATATACAAAAAACACAAAAATTAGCTGGGTATGGTAGCACGTGCCTACTCTCAGGTACTCAGAAGACGGAGGATGGGGATCACCTGAGCCCAGGGAGGATGAGGATCACCTGAGCCCAGCGAGGATGGGGAAGACCTGAGTCCAGGGAGGATGGGGATCACCTGAGCCCAGGGAGGATGAGGATCACCTGAGCCCAGGGAGGATGAGGATCACCTGAGCCCAGGGAGGTTGAGGCTGCAGTGAGCCACGACTGCACCACTGCTCTCAAGCCTAGCTGACAGAGTGAGGCCCTGCCTCAAAAGAAAATAAAAATGACAAATATAAACTTTAGGGGAAGGAAAAAAAAATAAAGGAAGCAAGTTATATTACCTAAAAATTCTCAACTGTGAATATCTGTGAGTATAAACATGTGATACTGAGTACTGATATGCAGACGTAGACATAAACATTGAAAGAGAAAAAAAAAACAGTAAGAACAACACTGTAGGAGAACAAAGTCCCCACCTATTATGATAGGAATCTAGTAAGTCTAAGTTCATTATTCACATGGTTACACATTTTTAGAAACCTAATATTAAAAAGACCTAACGAAAACAGCCAAAAGTGGGTGTCTCTTAGAGCAATGGAAGAGATGGTTGGTTAGCCATTGCATTTTGTACATACCCTTTTAGTGCTATTGAAAATTTTAAAGTAGATGCATGTATATTTTTGTAACAAAATAAATAATAACAGCATACACGTTTTCTTTTAGAAGTAAGCTGTTAAACAGAATTAAGAACAGGAAGTTTCAAAACTGTTTCCTTTAGGGGAGAAGACTTATTGATGGGGGAAAGTTCTCAAACACTTGCTTTGCATACTGCCACTTTGCAGTTTAAAAATTACATTTTAACTTCAAAATGCCAAACCAATAACACAGCTTTATAATAACACATTACAAACATTACAAAGTAATAAAAATGCAAGTACTGCAGAGTGGAAATGCAAAGCTATGTGTGCTAAAAGGCTAAAACTCAATTAGTCACAACAAAAACATAATTAAAAAACAAGGTAGTTGTGACTTACCTTGGTCAATCACTTTCCATAGTAATTGAAGCCGTTCAATCTGGGAATTTCATCTCTGAAGTGAAGGAAAAAAGCAAAAGAAGGTAGTGGAGAGGTCTCTGATGGGCTGAAGGGAGATGTGGATGCCTGAGCTGTGTCCAGTCACTCAAATGGCACACCTGATGCTACCTTTTCACTTGGGGCTGAGGAGGAGAGGGGAAAGACAAGTTCTCCCTGGCCACTTCTTGGCTTCTGACTTCACTTCCTGCCTGCCCTCTGACAATACTTCCGGTGTAAACGTCACTTCCTGTCTGCAGACTTTACTACCTGTACGACCTCACTTCCTGTTTTCTCCCATCACTTCCTGTCTGCTGACTTTACTTCCTGTCTTGATTTCACTTCCTGCCGCTTTTTTTTTTTTTTTTTTTGGGTCAGGGTCTGGTTCTGTCACCCAGGCTGAAGTGCAGTTATGTGATCTTGAAACCACCTTTGCAAAATTATGACTGAGACAGTGAAAGAGATTTAATTTAACTGACTCCATTTTGCTTCTAAACTCCAAGCTGTCCTTTTTCATTCCTGGGCGTGGGCTGAACTAACTTGGGGAGAAACTTCGTTTGCAGTTTATAGTTTAAACAAAGACAATAGCCCTTTCCCGAAGCAGACCTCTTTCTTGCCTGGGGACTGTATTGCCACTGTAGGACTAGTAGCCACAAGATTAGAAATCATGGTTTTGTAAGGTTAACCGAGAGAAAGGATAATAGACCCAAAGTCAGATAAGCACGTTTTATTTACCTGCCGGGCTGCCCTGTAGCAGCTAGAGGAGGCAGCCCCAAGCTTACAAAATGAGAGGTTTATATGGGGAGAGGGACATAAGGGAGTTTCAGGACCAAGGTAGTAAACAGACTTACATCATCCTGTGACTTTTGTGGTGGCAGTTTTAAAAAAACAAGATTTTAAAGATATGTGTAAAACAGGAATTTACAAGTATGGATAACAAACGTTTGCTTTCCCGGGTGTCCTTCCCCTGAGCTGCCCAGATGGCTGTAATCAGGCTTTGCTTAATTGTAGCCCATCTGGCAATCTTGATGTGGCACCTAGATAGGTGTTCAGGATTGCAGCTGCAGAGTAATCACAGTGTGGGGGTGGGTGGGGGGCAGCTTGTGGAGGGGATTTTCTGAGGCAACTTGTCCCCAACAGGTTTAGGAGTCATGCAGCTGGAGGCTACCCTAACTTCTCCTAAGATCAGAGCTTGAGGTAATTTGCAGACCCTGCACTTAATGGATCAGCCGAAACCACTGAGATGAATAAACTGGCTCATCTGATCTTGTGGCCCCCACCCAGGAACTGACTGATTGCAAGGAGATAGCTTCAACTCCACAGTTTCATCCCTGACCAGCAGTACTTCTGGCTCACTGGCTTCCCACCCATCCATCAAGTTATCCTTAAAAACTCTGTTCCCTGAATGTTCAGAGACACTGATAATAAAACTCCGGCTCTACGTGAATTACTCTTTCTCTATTGTAATTCCCTGGTCTTGATGAATCAGCTCTGTCTAGGCAGTGGCAAGGTGAACCCTTTGGGCTGTTACTATCTCATCTCACTGCAGCCTCCACCTCCTAGGTTCAAGCGATTCTCCTGCCTCAGCCTCCCAAGTAGCTGGGATTACAGACATGCACTACCATGCTCAGCTAAATGTATTTTTAGTAGAGATGGGTTCACAATGTTGACCAGGCTGGTCTCAAACTCTTGACCTCATGTGATCCACCCGCCTCCACCTCCCAAAGTGCTGGGATTACAGGTGTGCACTTCCTGCCTTTACTTGCACAGTGCATGACATTTACTTGATCTACACTGCTCTGTCTGGGTGAGTAGGGGAAGCCTCGAGAAGCCTGGCTCAGGGCTCAAGGAATGAGAGGAAGGGATGTGGTTACCATGGAAGTTGTTTTGGGGCACAGGCTGTGGTCTGGGATTGGGGATTGTGAAAATGGATGACCCTCACCGAAGTCTGTCTGCCAGAGCTGTGGCTGTGCCAGAGGGTCTTGAACAGGAGAGAGTTCTTTCTATTCTTGTGGAACAGCTGTGGATTGAGCAACGTGCACCTTAACTCATGGGATTGACCTTAGCTTTGAGAAGCCTGAAAATGAGGCTTGGAGGTAGAGAGTGGTATGCGTATGTGCTGTGGGAGGGGGTCAGGCTCTCATGATCTCCGGTTCTGCTTTTTTGCTCCAGAACATTAGCCCAAACCCACCACCTGGGCTAACGCAGCCCTTGTGGTTTCTGGGTGCAAACACGGCCATGGGACTGTGGAATGATTTTTTTTGTATCCTTATCAGAGAACCCAGTGAATACTTTGTTCTTTTTTTTTTTTTTTTTTTTGAGATGGAGTTTCGCTCTTGTTGCCCAGGCTGGAGTGCAATGGTGCAATCTCGGCTCACCGCAACCTCCACCTCCTGGGTTCAAGCAATTCTCCTGCCTCAGCCTTCCGAGTATCTGGGACTATAGGCACGCGCCACCATGCCCAGCTAGTTTTTTTGTATTTTTAGTAGAGACGGGGTTTCACCATGTTGACCAGGATGGTCTGGATCTGTTGACCTCGTGATCCACCCGCCTCGGCCTCCCAAAGTGCTGGGATTACAGGTGTGAGCCACCGTGCCCGGCCAATACTTTGTTCTTGATCATCAATGTGAGGAGATCGAGAGCAAGCAAGTGCTAATGCTGCTGTGAGCCTGAGGCCACATTTTCAGAACTCAGTGGTGGGCAGAGGTGGGCGGTCACAGGTAAGGAGGTGTGAGAAACAAGACAGCAGCACTTGTTCACCTCTGAACACCTACAGATTCACCCGTGTGCTCCATTTCAGTTTTCAGTACTTACCTGTCATGAGGGCGGCCAGATGAAATACACACGTTGGAGAAAGATGGTCAATTATGAGTGCACGGTTACATTTTATGGACCCCTGGTGTGTCAATACAGTTCCTAAACGAATGTGCATACATTACTCAATTTCTTCCTTTTTTTTTTTTTGAGAGGTCTCACTCTTTTGCCCAGGCTGGAGTACAGTGGCATGATCTCTGCTCACTGCAACCTCTACCTTCTCATACCTCAGCCTCCCGAGTAGCTGGGATTACAGGCACCTGCCACCATGCCCAGCTAATTTTTTGTATTTTTAGTAGAGATAGGGTTTCACCATATTGGCCATGCTGGTCTCAAACTCCTGACCTTGTGATCCACCCACCTCAGCCTCCTGAAGTGCTGGGATTATAGGTGTGAGCTACTGCACCCAGCTTCAATTTCTTCTCTTAAAGATGGGGCTAGATCACAATGGTTCACAACCTAAGGAAATTTTGCATTTCAGGAAGTATTTTCTAATTCTCAGAGACACTTTTGGTCATCATAGCTGTGAGGATGCTGGCCTCTGGTCAGTGGAGGCTAGGGATGGTGCCAAACCCCTATCAACGTACAGGACCATGTTAACCAGCAAGCAGTGATCTAGCCTCAAAACGTTAACAGTGTGGACAATAAGAAACCTTGGTTTCTTCACGCAATGTCCCTTTTAAACTGCATGCCTCTTTCACCAACTTTC